CTGTTGCTGTAATACCTGTAATAGCTTCACTTACTGTAATACCTGTAATAGCTTCTGTTACTGTAATAACTAATAGCTTCTGTTACTGTAATATCTTCTGTTACGATAATAGCTGTAATAGCTTCTGTTACTGTAATAGCTGTAATAGCTTGTTACTGTAATAACTGTGATAGCTTCTGTTACTGTAATAGCTGTAATAGCTTCTGTTACTGTAATAGCTGTAATAGCTTCTGTTACTGTAATAGCTGTAATAGCTTCTGTTACTGTGATAGCTGTAATAGCTTCTGTTACTGTAATAGCTGTAATAGCTTCTGTTACTGTAATAGCTTCTGTTACTATAATAGCTGTAATAGCTTCTGTTACTATAATAGCTTCTGTTACTATAATAACTTCTGCTACTATAATAGCTGTAATAGCTTGTTACTGTAATAGCTTGTTACTGTAATAGCTGTAATAGCTTCTGTTACTGTAAAAGCTGTAATACCTTCTGTTACTGTAAAAGCTGTAATAGCTTCTGTTACTGTAATAGCTGTAATACCTTCTGTTACTGTAATACCTTCTGTTACTGTAATAGCTGTAACAGCTTCTGTTACTGTAATAGCTGTAATAGCTTCCGTTACTGTAATAGCTGTAATAGTCTCTGTTACTGTAATAGCTGTAATAGCTTCTGTTACTGTAATAGAATTTGTTGCAATTGCATCGTTTCATTACTAATATATCTACTCAAAGGAATATAATAGAATATTGAACAACACATGAAATAGATCAATTAGATAATACATGTACATTCATCAGAAAAGTTCGGCTTTGAGTCAAACCGTAAACATAAATCATTAAATAAATTGCCAATCTCTATGATATTTATTAAAAATGTGTTTATTTTCCAGGTTCAACTATTTTAGACAGAGCTGTGATAGAACATAATTTACTATCAGCAAGTAAATTGTACAATAATATCACTTTTGAAGAGCTTGGATCATTGCTGGAAATCCCTCCAGCTAAGGTATAGTCTCATTAGTTCTCAATATCTTGAATACATGTCTGTATTGTGATCATGTTGGATGGTAAATTTACTATATTACAATATAAATACTTGTGAATATGCAGAAAAAATAATAATCAGCCATAATACAAGTCAGCCATTCTGAATGTTGTTTTACAAAACAAATTACATTTACAAATATTTGTCAATCATTTCCTAGTCTCAAAATATTGTATAAAGCTCTACATTAACTAAACATCAACAAAGTTTTCAGGAATCATTAGTTTAAATAAGAACTGGAAATTGTAAAATATTGAGCTTCAAATACCAATTTTTAAATTCATAAATATTGAACCTATATTTTTACATTTTGTTGCCATAAATTGGAACCTTGTCAGGAGGATTTACCACATTTCGTCATTGCATCCGGGTAATTCTTAACTAACTTTTTTTTTGTACACAGGCAGAAAAGATAGCATCTCAAATGATCTCAGAAGGTAGAATGAATGGCTATATCGATCAGATAGACAGTATTGTACATTTTGAAGGTAAGACATTGATTCCTTGGCTTCTACAATCCCCATCTCTAGTCTAGAATCAATGCCATCTCCATGAGTTCATGCGCCATGATACTGGACTAAATGTATTCACTATGTCATCTGTTTGTGGGCAGTCATTAATGCCCTTGAGTGAATCTTTTTAATACCGGATTCTGTCGTAAATTCGCCCAGGGCCATTAAACCGCAGTTCGGGGTTTTAAAAAAATAAGATGGGACCAAGAAACCGCCCAGGGCGATTTTTCTGCAGTTTTTTAATCTTTTCTGATGCCTAATAGTTTCGCCACAATCATTGACGCCTATTCAAGAGTATTGATGTTTATTGTGACTAGCGTGAATGGGTTAGCTTTGTTTCGACAATGAGCTGTTATCTCTGTAAATAATGTTAAATTATTCTTTAAATACTCAGTTTATCATTTGAAAATAACTAATTTAAAAACAAATCATGCTGCTTTACAATCTCTTCCGCGCTGAGTTCAATAACATTAACATATTTAAATGTTCTATGGTAATTTGAACACGTTGGCATCATCCATCGTTTTCATTGGTTAATTATCGATTTGACCTGTGAGGTCAAAGAACACCATCTCAGGTCAAACATGGCAGATATTCATTTCTACGGCATCGAGCATTGAAAATGTGATCGGAATCATTCGCTTACGATGAAATAAGTTGAAATTTATTTGCATTACAATTCAACGAATTTATTTATTGCACGTTATTATAATCATTACTAGGTAATAATCAACAATTGTAAAATGCAGCATGACCGGATTACGCTACCACGATCATTTGCCATTAAGCAGTGCAATTTTTTATTTAGAATATACTCCTTACTAATAAATGAAAAAAACAAACAATTGTATTTGACGCATGAGGTTTGTTGCGCGGTCTACTTTTTAATCCAGCTAGAAAAAAATGTATACAATTTTAGATTAGCTTCTGCAATAGTTACTTTCGTTTTGGGTGGTCCAACTGCCAGTGTTGAAAATCAGCGTAGGTGGATTTTTCAATGAAAATATAACCCCCCCCCCCCAATATTTGATGATAATTTTTTTGAAATTTGAACCCCAAATAAGGATCCACCAGCCGTGAAACCACCCCAGGGCGATTTTTCGGATGGGCGAATTTACAGCAGAATCCGGTAAATACCATCCATTCATTGACATGTGTGCCAAACAGTCTTTAGTCTGATTCTAATGCAGTGGTTGATTGTAATAGACCATAAACTGTAAAATAGAAAAATTCAAATTATTTTATTTTGGCAGCAGACATTTCAACCACGTCTTTCATGCATTACTCGAGATTTCGCAGTGCACGCAGTATTTATCAATTCATATCACCTTAAAGGGTACAAACATAGATGTACCTAATTTTCAAATGGTTGAAACTCTACAATGTGGTCATTGGTAACATTGACCTTGTCTGTGTGTGGTTGTGTGGTCAAAATCCCAAGAAAAAATAAAATATTTTACACTGCTGCCAAAATATTGCCACACCTAAAACAATAGGACTATGACAGTTCTGGATATGATAATACTTGACATATACTTCTGTTTTTAATTGCAGCTCGTGACATATTACCATCATGGGACAAACAAATCCAGAGTCTTTGTTTCCAAGTCAATAATATATTGGAAAAAATAACACAAGTTGCACCAGATTGGGTAGCCCAGGCGATGGATAACCAAATGGCACAATAACAATTTTACTCAAAAACAGTTCTTGTCTTTTTTGTCTTGCAATTTTACCAGATAAACAGGAAAGTTGAGTTACATATACACATGGTGAAGTGCTCTGTGTACACTCTGGATGTCATTGCTGAGATGTTGACTCCATATACTTCTATTATTGTTTATGTGCTTACTTATTTTGCACAAATCATGAACACAAATTATGAAATGGTATGTTGAGCCAGGAATACAATCAAGGTGTTCTCTGGTTGGCTATTTGTTGAGGTGTTAAATATTTGAGAAGTCCCTTTTATACTTGTATTTGCTCTCAATATTGACATATGCTTTATTCACTCATCAAACCTGTATAAATATGTATTTTTAAAGATGACAGGATATTCTCTATTGCCTGTGTTGTGTGCACTTTGGACTTCAGTTTTCCATTGAAAATTTACATCCAAAAATAGTGATATACCGATAGGCCTTTAAAAGTTTCACTGTATTTCTAGTTTGTATAGTTACAATTTATAAAAAGCCATTTGATTATATGACGCCTACATCTGAATGAAATATCAGTGAAAGTTAAGAATTGTGCCGATGAGAAATCTAGCAATTTTCACTCCCTTAAAATCTGTTCTTTGTTTCACACACTTCATTGCAGTAGTAAGACACTAGAGATTCATGCATGTTATGCTGCTTCCAAGCAAAAAAAGAGGTGTATTACTTATTGTGCAAAACGGAATGTGTCATCCCAGAAAGTTTAAAAGTCACATGACTACCAACTGGCTTGGGTTTAGTTAATTCCCTCTTTTATATACAGGAATGCAGTGATCTAACCAGAGCACAAGACTGGCATTCATCATGCATTTTTGTAATGCATCTCGTACCTATAAAACATGATGGTCAAATTAATGTCTGAAGTAATCATACTTGTGTGAAGTGTTTTTGAGATGATTAATAGTTGCTAGGTCTTATTGCACATTTGTGTCGGGACTTGTAGTTCAACAAAATTCTCATGCAAATATTAAAAGTTGTTTGTTTGAAGCTTTTCGAATGTAATATGCATAAAATAATAAATGCAACATTTGCTGTATTGGCAAGATATCTGCATTATGATTTACTTAAAAACTACCAAGCATTTGTCATTATCTACATCTTTGGGTGTTATCAAGGAGGTATGTAGGTGTGTTGAAATGGGCATAGTGCAAGTGATTAGTGCAAGTACATGTAGCACTAATCCGAAATAGTACTAGATCTAGTGCTAAAACACACAGTGAAAGTAACATAGTTATGCATTGTCAACGACATCGAGACATCCCGTAATTATTGTCTGAAAATAAATTAATGTTTACGCAAAATTGTTTTATTATTTATTCATTGGAAATGTGCTACAGTGGGAAAATTGAGTGTACATATTAATTTTCATTACTATTCACTTTGTCACTTGTAATGGACTTTGGAAAAACTAGGAAATTGCCATGTTTTCAAAAACGCGATTGACCGTTAAATCATTCAGCTTTATTGACAGTGAAACTGTAGGTTGAACCTCGTAATTTTTTACTCTTGTGTGTGAAGCACAAAAAGAAAGACTTTGCAGTTAGTCTGTGTGTCTATCTGTGTGTCGGTCTGTGTGTGTGTTCCACTGATATCTCAAGAACCATACATTGATTTTTGATGAAACTTGGTGCATAGATGCTCTGGGCAATACGCAGATTTGATTAGGTTTTGGTAAAAATCCATGCATATTAATTACCTAATTTGCATGATAATTAGCTGATTTTTGACTGTTCCATGATTGTTCCACTGATACCTAATTTGCATAATTAATTAATTTTCAGCTTTTGATATTTCAAGTATTAATCATCACATTTCAATGACTCTTGGTACATAGATGTCATAGGACACTGCACATACCTGATAGTTTTAAGGGTAATATCAGTACATATTAATTACCTAATTTGCATAATTAATTAATTTTCAGCTTTTGATATTTCAAGTTGTAATCATCACATTTCAATGAAACTTGGTACATAGCTACTTAAGGATGGTGCAGAGACCTGATTAGTGTTGGGGTAAATATTTGTGCATATTAATTTACTAATTATGCTAATTAGTTAATTTTCAGCTTTTTGCCTGATAACTTGAGTACTGATCATCATATTTCAATGAGACTTGCTACATAGATCCTCAAGGACGATGCAAAGACCTGATTAATTTTACGGTGAATAATTGTGGATATTGATTACCTTATTAGCATAATTAGTTTATTTTTTCTATAAATGTTCCACTGATATAATAAAGAACCACTAATTGGATTTTAATGAAACTTTTATGGAGTATTCATCATCACATTTCAATGAACCTAGGACTATGCAGAGACCCAATTAGTTTTTGGTAAATATTTATGCTTATTAATCACCTATTTAAAATAATTAACACTGATATCTCAATTACTGATCCTCACATTTGAATAAAATTTGGTACATAAATGCTCTAGAACAATAGACAGGCCCGAATAATTTTGGGTTGAAATTTCTTCATATAATTCTCTAATAATAATTCATAGTTTTTTTGTTCTAATCACATTTCAATGACTTATGTACACAGATAATACATTACCCAGGCCTTATTAGTTTTACACTCAAATCTATTCATATCAGTTACCTGATTTACATAATTAGTTTTCAGCTATTCCATCAATATCTCAAGTACAAGTATTTTGAATTAATTTTTAATGTGTCTTCAATACTCTCAGCAAACAGGAGTTTTTTCTAAGCTTTCTTTGATTACAGATTGTGAACAGAGACACTTCGATACGATATTGTATGAACGTGTTGGTTTCAATTATGGCATTTGTAAACCTGTATGTAAGCTGTGGAATTCAGCGTTGATTTAAAAAAAAATTGCTGGTGTGCACCACACTTAATAAAAAGTGGCATTGTTATCTCAACCCTTTTCATATGCAATCTACACACATGCGAAACGAGTACGGACAGAGTAAATTTAGATCGTTTTTTAGTTATTCAACTTTTCACCAGTATTGTGCATTTCACCATCTTGATTCTCCAGCAGAGGATTGTGGGTAAAATGTGACATCATAACATGTATATAATTATAATAAAAGAAATTAAAATGTTGCAAATACACAAAAAGTAAAGATATTTCCAGAAAAGTAAAGTAAGTAAAATAAAAAAATCATTATTTTGGTGGTTGAAAAAAGAATGACATATTTCTGTATAAGCTAAGTATAAAATGTACGAAGAATTGATCATTTGGTATGCAAAAATTAATATTTTCCGTTCTGTTGCAATGACAGTGGCTAGGATGTGATACTATACCCATAATTCTTTGCCGGAGAATCAAAATCATTATGGTGGAATCACAGTCACTCTCCGAGTCGAGTGACTGTGGTGGAATGGCACTTTAAGTTGTTTGCCCAGACTTTCCTTTTAAAATACAATGTCGAGTTTAACCATAGACCTTAGAAAATCTTTTCTAATGTCTAAGGTTTAACACATTCACAGGTCGTGAATAACCAGACCACAAGTGATACATTGTTACATTCTATGACCCAGTTCAGTTTTGTGTCTGCCGGTGAATAATCTGTGTTTTTGGACTCGATTCACGACAGTACATCGCCCTCTGTTGTGAATGCCAAGAAATGTTAACCTTTCAACCCTAACTCGCAACTTGATGTGCTGAATCAGCTGTGTTTGTTTTGCTGCATGTTGTTGCACATTGCGAGAACTTTACAAAAGTCGCGCTGTTGCCGTCATATCACCAGTTCTAAACAAGTACTCACCAAAGAAACAGATATGAGCAAAAGGAAGGCACCCGATTCGAACAACCCAAACGCCGATTTCTGTGACTTTTTGACGGGTAAGGTCTTTGTTTGGATTTCAAGGGACGCGATGCATCCCTTTGTTGTTTTTAAAAGGCTGACTCGAAATCGAAACTGATCTCGGTCGAACGTTTTGTCTGTTTATATCAACCCACGTATTCCCTGTATTCATAATTTGTTAGCTATGGATGGATACTACAGGCATGTCGCTTGGCTTCCTTTATTTTCTTATTCTGTCACACTGACCACGGGGTACTGATGGTCTGTATTGCCATGGAAGGTACTTCCATGGTATATAAAAGCTACTATCTCTCAGTCTTAGCACAACAAAAAAATTTTCTTCATTTTTATAAACATTTATAAATTTTACAATTCAAACTGAGACTAGATGTTTTTATTGGCTTATTAAATAAAATTGAAGTTTTGTTGTTGTGCACTGTGCTCATGGATTGACTGGTTGGATTCAACTGCCATTATAATTTATAAATATTTATAAAGATGAAGGTGCTGTGAATATTATCATTCTTAAAGTTGTGCCAATTTATGAAATATACAGTGCTTTCAAATAAAGTATTTATCAAAATTTACAGTTTATAAACATAAAACATTAATAAATTTGAAAACTATTGCTGACCTCGAATGAATACCCCACTCCTAAAAGTGACGATCCAGTCTACACATGATGTGCATAGACGAATCAACCAAAATCTAATGGGTTTGCCTTTGTCAGTGGAAAATATTTCTCTGTTAATAAAAATAAAAACAAAAACACTGATGACCAACAACAATAATAATAATAAATATAATAGTACAAGTTTTACTAAAAATTATAGCGAGAGGGTGGTCACCTGCGCACGCGCAGGAATTGAGTCCCAAGCGATGATAACAACACACCCAAAAACGCAAAGGCACGCTATGGCCATCTGACGACTCCCCCGTTTTAATTAAATGCAATTCCTTCTGTTCAAATATATTATATTCATTTATTTGTTTTTAATCTCACTTCAGAACTGGCTAACTACGAGAAAAATGTGAACAGACAGATGCATAAATACAATGTATACAGAAAAGCGGCAAGTGTGTTATCAAAACACCCAACGAGGATCACCAGTGGTAAAGAAGCAAGAAAACTGGTAAGAAAGTCTATTTTATTTGCATTTCCTTTCACCACCAAGTTCTGATTCTGCCCCATTTTCCAATACAGCATTCTTTTCTGAAAATTTAGATCAAGATCTTTATTTCTGAATGTAGCAACTGTACAGTATATCTAATTTTATGTGTTGAAAACAAAAAAATAACAATTTGGTGAAAGAAATAATGGTCACATTGACCCCAAGAATTGCTCTATGACGCAGTCTTAGCTTTTCTAAAACGCAGGGTCAGAGTTCATTTAAACCTAGTGTTTAAAAAAATGTGTAAACAGATTGACCCAGTCATTGGGGAATTTTCATTTTATTGTCCAAAGTTAACAAAGAAATTACAGAAATGTACATGAAAATATCCAAAATGTTGCACTGAAATATTTGCAGAAAAAAATGATGGTTTCAAGTTTTTTCCCAATTTTATTATTTTCTATTTCTTTCTTAAAGTTGGGCCAAATGAACATAATTGTCTACATTTCTTACCAGAACTACTATGCATATTTTATTTGTGAAATGTGACAAAAATTGACATTGTCTGGTGTATTATTATTAAGCTGTGCTTTTTGTTGGCAGGATGGAATTGGTGATAAAATTGGCAAAAGATTGATGATTTATACAACAGGACAGTTGCAGAAATTGGTGAAAATT